TTTCCGATTCCCGTCCACTGCGCTATTCCTGCTAGTCTCGGAGGCCCGACTGTTGTGAGTCTTGGCGTCGTAGCCCGAGCGCGTCGACTTGAAGGTTTACCCGTCGGCCCTGTATTGTAGGTTCCAATCTTCGGATGATGGTGTTTCGTCTTCAAAGCTGAGCCCCCAGAATAAAGCCGCCACCAAAAGATCCCGATCGGATTGTCGTGAGATTGCGAGGCTTCGAAGATGTCGAAGGGCGGGCCTTGCTTCGAGGCCGTTCTCGTGTCGAGGTATCACAGCCATTCCTGAAGACGTAAGCTTCGAACACTTCAAATGTTGAGTACGGCTCGAGGCGTGCCCATGCGCTACGCGGGCCTATCAGCGCTCTCTCATATATCAAGGGACCGGCTCAATTCTTCGTTCACACAATCATCAATGATGCCCAAGAACCCATCTCTGACACCGAAGATGCGCCACTTAAAGGATTGCCTAACTGGGCTAGTTTCAGGAAGTCCTTCATACAGACTTTTGGGGTTGAGGACGACACTCAGGCAGCCTTAAATGAGATTAGCAAATGCACCTGGGACAAATGCGGAGGAAATGGCCTTCGATTCGTTACTACTCTTCGACCCCTTTTACAGGCTAGCGGGTTAAACGAATTAGGGCAAATTTGAGAACTCCAATGTCTTATCCCTCCTGCTCTTCTTCTCAAGATTGCCGCCCGACCACCGCTGCCGATCACTGCCATAGGATACCTGAACAGCGTCCAATCCATCTGTCAATCTATGATCGACATCTTCGGTGACAAACCTCTCTTTATGACATCGACTAATCGATCTTTTGGTCGCAATCGTGGTAGATTTGTACGTTGCAACTGAGCAATCAAAACAGGGGAAGGATCTTCCAAAGACGGATCATCTAAGGATCAACGGATCAGACGTCTGTCAGATAAAGATCACAAAGAACATATGGACAAGAAGCTATGCTTCAGATGTCACAAACCAGGGCATCAGAGTCGTCAATGCCCGAATAATTGCATCAGGGAAATCGAGTCCTACGAATCATCCACTCAGGAGAAGGATGAAACCAGGGATTCCTCCGAAGGGGAAGGAATAGCCAAAGAATACATTCAAGCTATATCTTCTGAGAAGGATTTTTAAGGTCTTTGATTGCTGTGACATCGAATCGAAGTATTGGTGCTAAGGACTATCTATATCAGGCGAGATTAGCTCACAAATCTATTTATTTGCCCTGCATATTGAACACTTACACCAAAACCATCACCACTGAGGCATTGCTCAACACTGGAGCAATGGAGAATTATATCGATATTCAGTTTGCTCAGAATCACAATCTCCAACATCAGAGCATCGCACCCAGACCAGTATTTAATGTCGATGGATCGCCCAACAAAGCCGCATCCATTACACATAAAGTCTTCTTTACTATATCTCTATCGGGACAGCCAATGAAGATAGAAGCCTATGCCACAGTACTCGACCAGAATCCGATTATTCTAGGCCTCTCTTGGTTTAAATGCTTCAATCCTGTAATAGATTGGATCACTGGAAAAATGCGCTTCTGTTGGGATCAACTACTGAGAGCAATCAAGGTTCCCACTAACAACATTCCAGCATACCTAAACGCCTTTCTCTCTGTATTCAACAAAAGTACAGCAGAACGGTTACTAGAACGAAAACCTTGGGACCATGCAATTGATTTGGAAGCAAACTTCAAACCTCAATGAGGAAAGGTCTACCCACTATCACCAGCGAAGCTCAAGGAACTGGACACCTTCATCGAGGAGAATTTGCGTAAAGGCTATATACGACCATCAAAGTCTCCTATGGCATCTCCATTCTTCTTTGTCAATAAGAAATCAGGAGATCTACGACCCTGTCAGGACTATAGGAAACTCAATGACGCCACTATCAAAAATGCCTATCCTATTCCACGAGTAGAAGATCTATTAGACCGAGTTGCCTCTGCCAAGCCAACTATGTTCACCAAGCTTGATCTACGTGCAGGATACAATAATATACGCATCAAAGAAGGTGATGAATGGAAGGGGGCATTTATCACCCCACAAGGACTATTCGAACCTACAGTAATGTTCTTCAGAATGACAAATTCCCCGGCAACTTTCCAAGCAATGATGGATGGTATCTTTGCAGACCTATTACTGGAAGGCTGGTTGGTGATCTATATCAATGATATTCTCATATATTCCACCAATCATGCAGAACACCAATAATGAACTCAATTAATCCTCCAACGGTTAAAGGAATCAGATCTGTTTCTCAAACCAGAGAAGTGCTTCTTTGATGTATCAGAGGTGGAATTTCTAGGTTTCATCCTCCAACCAGGTCAAATTGGGATGGCAGAAGATAAGGTATCAGCAGTACTAAATTGGCCAAAGATTGATAGTGTCAAAGCATTACAACGATTCCTAGGTTTTGCCAATTTCTATCGAAGGTTCATTCCAGGGTACTCAAAGGTCGCACGGCTGCTATTCGATCTGTTGGTGAAAGGCATCAAATGGAGTTGGACAGATGATCATGACAAAGCCATCAATCATCTCAAGGAATGTTTCAAGACTCGACCACTCCTGGTACAACCTGACATTGCTAAACCATTTTGGATAGAATCAGATGCTTCCCTAAAAGCTTCTGGAGGTATCCTGTCTCAGAAACAATCCGATGGAAGATGGCATCCCTGCGCCTTTCTATCACAATCCTTCTCTCCCATAGAACAATGATATGAAATCTATGATTGAGAACTCTTGGCAATCATCAGATGTTTCAAAGCCTGGCGACACTACATTGAAGGATGCACAGAACCGGTAGAAGTATTAACAGATCATATGAATCTGACATATTTCAAGGATCCCCAGAAATTAAATCCCAGACAGGCGCGATGGGCATTGTATCTTTCTATGTTCAATTATTGCCTTCATCATGTTCCAGGAACTCGGTTTGGGAAAGTGGATGCACTATCATGTATTGATCAAGATGCATCTGAAGGGGGGAGTGAACTTCCTATGGAAGAAATCCTTCTTCCATCAGAAGTCTTCATTCAGGCCATTCAGAACCTCGAATACATCAACTGTCACAGTTTTCTATATATTTTTCCTATTTTTATTACATTTTCTAC